CGCCCAAACATAATTGTATTGCCAAACTACCACCCAAACACTGCTGTACCAAACTACCACCCAAACACTGACTGTACCAAACTACCACCCAAATACTGACTGTACCAAACTACCACCCAAACACTGACTGTACCAAACCACCACCCAAACACTGACTGTACCAAACTACCGCCCAAACACTGAGCTGTACCAAACTACTTCCAAACACATGCCAAACTACCACCCAAACACTGACTGTACCAAACTACCACCCAAACACTGACTGTGCAAACTACCACCCAAACACTGACTGTACCAAACTACCACCCAAACACTGCAAATACACACAAACGGAACAGCAAAAAACAAGTCAAGTCAAGAAGTCAAGTCATGTCACATCACATCATATGGGATCATCTCCACGATCATCTCCCAGTACAAGGTCCACATCTCACCAGAGCTCAGGAACAGGTTGTGTGTTAAATCCAGGTGAACTAATATGGTCACCTGGGCACTAAATCACACGGGCCTAATGTACCTCTTTGCCCAACCTGGTAATGATACGGACTGGCGGTGGGGGTGAAAGGTGGTGATACATAGGGAAGGGGTGATGATACATAGGGGGGTGATGATACATAGGGGAAGGGGTGGTGATACGTGGGGTGATGATACATAGAAGGGTGGTGATGCATAGGGGAGTGATGGTGATACGTGGGGTGTGGTGGTGATACATAGGATGGTGGTGATGATACATGGGGTGGTGGTGTATATACATAGGGAAGGGGTGGTGATACATAGGGGTGGTGGTGATACATGGGGTGGTGGTGATACATAGGGGAAGGGGTGATGATACGTGGGTTGGTGGTGTATACGAGGTTATTGGACCTGGTGGAGGAGGGGGGAGGGGGAAGATGTGATATTTTGGAAAACGACAGAGGTGAGCAAAGATTACCTAAAGGATTACCTAAATGAGCTAAACCTTAACCTGAATTAGCTTAAAAAAATCTATTTAAATCAGAAACAAAAACACCTACTCAGCTAAAAATTTACCTCATGAGCTCAAAGTTTCTCTAAAATTTTACCCAAATGAGCTAAAAAAAGTTGCGCTAAATGAGCTAAAATTGTACCCAAATGACCTAAAAATTTACCTAAATGACCTGAAAGTTAAGATGAGCTGAAAGATTACCCAAATGAGCTAAAAATTTACCTAAATGGGCTAAAAGTTTGTTCCCAGGCACCCAAACACAACAGCCAGGGCAAGCAGTGACAAACCCCGCCATCACAACACAACCAAGAGAAACAACAACATCTGCCATACGATGATCACAAGTTAACCCACACGTCTCCGTCCCACTTTCTACTGTATCACCGATTTCTAGTTTTATTATCGACCTCCCAAGCCGGGTGAACCGACTGAGGAGGTTCTGCAGGCGAGTGTCTGGGAACGGTAAATAGAGGCCTGGCGTCTTGTGGGGGAGAGGTGGCATGTTCCTCATGTGACTTTCTGGGAATGGCAAAGAGGCCTGGCGTTTTGTGAAGTCGTACGTTCTTCAGGTAAGTTTCGTAAGTTTCTGGGAACGGCAAACGGAGGCAGGAGTTAGCGTGAAAAACCGTGAGTTTGATATCTTCGTTGAGTACTAGTTTCGGAACGGTTGGTACAGTCGACCACATGTGTTGTTACACCATTATCTATGTGGATCAAATTATCTGGTGAAACTTTCGTGTGGAGAGCTGTCAGAATTTCAAAATTGCCAGTAATTAAAGTTTTATTCGTGCAGATATTTTATAATTATATATGTTGTTTTTATTTGAATAATGTCATGCAGGCACCACCAACATATTATTATAATGTACTGCAGAATATATCGAAGTATTTCTTTCACCGTGTCAAATATTAAAGGTGGAAAAAGTGATGATATTTTTTTGGGGGGGGAATTGTACAATGCATTACTTAATCAGGTTATATCTGGGCTGGTTAGTGGCCACACTCACCAGTCGGGCCACATCTGGGGTAACGGGTTGGTCGGTCACGGTTGGGTACGCTAGCCAGTAGGGCCACTTCTAGGCTGGTTTGTCAGTCTGGATGGGACAAAGTATAAGGCAGGGCCACAATTGGGCTTGCTGGTCAGTCGGGGTGGGCCACACTAGAGCCAGCAGGGCCACATCTGGACTGGTGGTTCGCTGGCTGGGTGATCCGGTCAGGACTCGCCAGCCTGGCCACTTTTATTGTTCCTGCCTCACCGTCTCCTCCACCGTGTAAAAACAACTCTGATAATTTATATGTAGATGAACTCAGCACACCTCTCCTCCACGACACTTTGATACCTCCTGGGTCTCTCTAACCCAGTGGTTCTCAACCTTATTCACTCCATTCCCCCCTTGAGGAATTTTCAACATCCTCGTGGCCTCCTTCATTTTTCTCCCAGAACAGACAAACAGACAAGTGATAAAGACTAAAGAATGATAAAGAAGGACAGATAAATAGGACAAGAGAATGGCAAACACACACACACACACATTCACATACATAACACGCCCATGCACTCACACATAAAGTACACATACACTCATACACAAACATGCACACAGGTAAACATTCACACTCAAGCTAGCAAGCTGAAGTGTACTTCCTGTAAGCAAGAACACGCCTCCTTTGACAAGCACTGCCCAACTTGGAAGAATGAGAAGAATAGTGAGTCATACCAATTTAGCACTAAAAATGGTAGGATTATATAAGTAAAGAATGAGTATGAACTACAATGGCACCAATAAATAAGGGAATAATTAATAAAGGAAGTGTACAAATATTTCACCCACGTAAAGCAGCGACCACATGAATTATGAAACAAAATAAGTAACACCAATTACGGAGTATATTATGCCTGAGTCAAGCTCAAACACAATATATGGTTCAGAGACAATACACTCCACTGTTTTCGTAATGGTATCCCATGCCAGACTGAGATCATTCGGTCCTGTCACCACTTGCAAAGGGATGACACGGACACGTACTGAACAAGTCAGTTCAGCAGCTCGGTCCAGCGCCTGTCACACAGACAGGGACTGGACCTGTGAAATCTTAAATAATTATTTAAGATTTTACGGATTATAATCCGTAAAAAAAAAATTAGCACCAGAGTATGTAAATATTAAAATTGTATTGTCGTTATAATTAAACAAAATGACAAAAAAAAAGAATGAAAATTCTCTTCTGCCAAGTCAAAATAAGTAATACAAGTTTTGTTTAATTCAGATTCCCAACATTATTTGGAAACGTACAATTTATAACAGCTCGCCGTGGCTCCCCTAAATTCTTGTCGTGGCTCCCTTGGGGGCCATGGCCCCCAGATTGAGGACCAATGCTCAAACCTAACCTAACCTAGAATTACCAAACCTTACCTAACCTAACCTAGCACAACACAACCAAACCTAGCACCACACAACCTAACCTAGCATAACACAACCTAACCTAGCACCACACAACCTAACCTAGCACCACACAACCTAACCTAGCATAACACAACCTAACCTAGCACCACACAACCTAACCTAGGTATAACACAACCAAACCTAGCACCACGCAACCTAACCAACCTAGCACCACACAACCCTAACCTGGTATAAACAGCCAGAACCACCACAAGCCCTAACCTAGCACCACACAACCTAACCTAGCAACCTGGTATATAGCACGACTGGGCCCCACACAGCACTAACCACAACCAAACCTACACACGAGCCTAACCTGGCACCACCTAACAATATAACACAACCAAACCTAGCACCACACACACCTAACCTAGCACCACACAACCCAACCTAGCACCACACAACCCAACCTAGCACCACACAACCCTAACCTAGTATAACACAACCAAACCTAGCACCACACAACCAACAGCACCACAAACCCCTAGCACACAATCCCAACCTAGCATAACACAACCAAACCTAGCACCACACAACCACAACCTAGTATAACACAACCAAACCTAGCACCACACAACCTAACCTAGCACCACACAACCCTAACCTAGTATAACCTAGCACACCACACAACCTAGCACCACACAACCCAACCTAGCACCACACACAACCTAACCTGGCACCACACAACCTAACCTAGCAACACAACCAAACCTAGCACCACACAACCAAACCTAGCACCACACAACCTAACCTAGCACCACACAACCCAACCTAGCACCACACAACCCAACCTAGCACCACACAACCTAACCTAGCACCACACAAATAACCTAGTATAACACAACCAAACCTAGCACCACACAACCAAACTCCTAGCACCACACAACCTAACCTAGCACCACACAACCTAACCTAGTATAACACAACCAAACCTAGCACCACACTTCCAACCTAGTATAACACAACCAAACCTAGCACCACACAACCTAACCTAGCACCACACAACCTAACCTAGTATAACACACCAAACCTAGCACCACACAACCTAACCTAGCACCACACAACCCTAACCTAGCACCACACAACCCAACCTAGTATAACACAACCTTAAAACCCTGGCACCAAACCTAGCACCACACAACCTAACCCCTAGCACCACACAACCTAGCCTGGCACCACACACAGCCTAACCTAGCACCACACACAACCCCTAACCTGGCACCACACAGCCCTAACCTAGTATAACACAGCCAAACCCCACAGCACCACACAACCCAACCTAGCACCACACAACTAACCTAGCACACACAACCTAACCTAGCACCACACAACCCAACCTAGCACCACACAACCCAACCCTAGCAATTCACACAACCTAGCACAACACAACCAAACCTAGCACCACACAACCTAACCTAGCATAACACAACCTAACCTAGTATAACCAAACCCAACCTCTCCTCCACACACCTCTATGACAGCCCCAGGCACCCAATGTTGTCGATCGGAAATTTTTCATAAGATGGCAGGTCAATGGGTAAGGAAAACGCTTCAATTCACTATGGTAATGATATATTTAAATACATTAGGCCAAAAGTTGCAAAAAATGAGGGTTAAAGTTGCTAAAAAGTCACGTGACTACGAAAAGCTCCGTGATTAGTTGTGACGCAGAGCAGGAGCCTGGTATGTGTTGTTACCAGCAGAAATACAGAACTTGTGGCCATATACAATGTTGATATACACAAGCATACCTTACTTTTAGGTTATAATAAATTACTGCTCAAGTATCATCGTGTGTGTTTACTTGGTGGTGCCAGAATGATGCACAAGACCGATAACTCCAACAGGGAAGTTTTCGTCACTGGTGTTTATATTTAATGTTGTGGAAGGACTAGGGACGACCAAGGCCAGGGGATGATCAGATGACAGATGTTATTTAACGCCCTTCATAGCTGGACGGCCGAGTTCTTGATAATACTCTACTATCATAAACACATCTACTTTGGGTAAATTTATTTAATTTGCCTTGATGAACCCTGGAACTAGTTGTCCAACCTTCTCGGCTGATCGGCTCTGTAAATAAATATTATTAGATAATTAATTGTGCTTTACTGTGCAACACAGTAATACTATATTGAATATATAAATATTCCGAAGCACATTTACCAAGTCAATAGATATTAGCTGCCCCTTTCTACTAATTTCATAGTATAAAACTATAAATATTCCAAACAATATTGGTATTATTATGGTATTGGTCATAAGAACTTAAGAAAATAAGGAGTCTGCAATAGGCCGGTTGGCCTGTGCTTGGCAGCTCCTGTCGAGAGTTACTACCACTCTCTATCATCCATGAATCCATCCAGCCTCCTTTTAAAACTTTCCCAGCGTCCCAGCACTTACTACAAAGTTGGTAAGCTTGTTCCACTCGTCCACCACCCTATTTGTGAACCAGTTCCTTCCTAAACCTAAACTTATCCAACTTAAATCCGTTGCTCCGAGTCCTATCCTGCTCGGATATTATAAGAACTTCATCTACATCCCCTTTATTGATTCCTTTCTCCCCGCACTCTTCGTCTTTCTAGAGAATGCAAGTTTAGTTTCTTTAATCTATCTTGACTGGGAAGGTTTCTAAGTCCCGGAATCTTACGGGAACCTAAGATTCTAATTATGGGATAAAGTACTTTAAACAATAAGACACATTATCTCTATGGGATTTCTGTCACAAAACATTTTTCGATCGCACAAGAAAATACAGGTCATATGTTAGGTTAGGTTAGGTAAGGGTATGATGAATTATAAGGTTAGCTTAACATACACCGGTAAAGGGGGGGGGGGATTGTAACTCAAAACTAGTGATTTCCGATAGAAATAAAACATAGTCTGCATGTCTAAGTACAGGGATGACCAAAATTTAACATTTACCCAATACTGTTATAGCCCATCTCGAACTAAACATCCAAATACTTATGGTATTTAAAGTAAATTTTTACCCATTAATTAATATAAATGATGATATATCCCAGTGGTTCATTAGTGAATCATCAAAACAATAATAGCACTATGTTGTCATGTTCACCTGGCATCAGGCATTATCAAAACTAAGTCCAGACAATGTCATTACTTCTAAATTGACTCGTATCTCCATCCGTGCAGGGAAGGTGGTGACGTCATTGCAAATGGTGGCCCTGTTTCTGGAGAAATAAACTTATCTCGACTATTATAGCAGGACTTTAAACTTTTATTACAAATTATATATACCGTATCACTCAACTAACGTGGCAGAGTGTATTTCTTGTGTTTACCCAGAACCGTCAACTCGTTCATTGTCCGACGATCAACGAGTAAAGGCTTTATGCTGAACGAAGGATGACCTCGGTTAATAATGCAGTACTGACGGGCAATAAATATTAACGCGTTCACAGTCAATATTAAACGAAGGAGGCATCAACGAGTTCATTCTCATAATGTTAAGCGAAGGATGTGATCGTTTGGTAATAAATCCTGGAAGCAGCAAATAACACTAAACAGGTCTGATGCCACGAGGAGTTTACCTGAAGAACTCGTTAAACAGGTCAAGATAACTCGTTAAACAGGTCAAGATAACTCGATAAACAGGTCAACAAATCACTTTCGTAGTTTTTCTTCCCTCATAACAGGAACATAAATAATAGATATATATATATAATTTCCTTCCTGATTATGTCACACACACACACACACACACACACACACACACACACACACACACACACACACACACACACACACACACACACACACACACACCACCTAACGCATGGCTCATCTCCACCCCAACGCATGGCTCATCTCCACCCCAACGCATGGCTCATCTCCACCCCAACGCATGGCTCATCTCCACCCCAACGCAGAGTTCATCCATGCGCTTGGCCGACACATATACTTAACCTATAATATATTGTAATGAGTATTTCTCTTAAGACCTTGAGACTAGACGAAAATGACTCTTGGCTTCAAACGGATGACTCTTGACCATTAAGCAACACACACGATTCACCTAAAATACAACACATCTTCACCCAAAACGTGTAAAATATACCTCTTGGCTCCCACACCTCAGCTATATCACCCAGTGTGCCACATGACTTCACTTCTAGTATACGACGCAGGGCCGAGTGACTCCTACCAGGTGGATGCACGATTCACCTGTGCATTCGAGACCAAACTTAAAGAGATTATATAGGTGACAACTTCTCTCCCTCGAGGTGTACCTTAGAGAGAGAGAGAGAGAGAGAGAGAGAGAGAGAGAGAGAGAGAGAGAGAGAGAGAGAGAGAGAGAGAGAGCATCTAGATGAGGCCAGTACAGAGTTGCATTGGCCCAAGTCTATCATTACAGTCCACCGTCCTAAACCTGTTCCTACCTAGAGAGAGAGAGAGAGAGAGAGAGAGAGAGAGAGAGAGAGAGAGAGAGAGAGAGAGAGAGAGAGAGAGAGAGAGAGAGAGAGAGATATCAGTCAGTCAGTCCATCAGTCCGCCAGTCAGTCAGTCAGTCCAACCACAACTAAAAAATCTACCCCAGGAACACTATTGGACTACTTCATATAAGACCCTCTATAGTAACCTCTCCAAACAGTGATGGCTGGCATGTACTATGATCTAGTATATACCATAAAGAATGCTAATGGTGGACGAGGGAATGAAGTGGAAGAGGGAATGAACTATGGAGGTTTCAACGAGAGATTTATGTCGCAGAGCTAAATGGATAATTGACCTTGAGGAATGGGGGAGTGAGAGATGGAGTTCAGGTGTAAAAGTAGTTGTAAGTATAGGTAGGTAGCTGTCTGGCTGTCTGTCTGGCTGTCTAATTGTGTCTGTCTGTCTGTCTGTCTGTCTGTCTGTCTGTCTGTCTGTCTGGCTGGTTGTCTGTCTGTCTGTCTGACCTTGAAGAATGGGTTGAAGTGAGAGTGAGAGATAGAGTTCAGGTGTAAAAGTAGTTGTAAGTATAGGTAGCTGTCTGGCTGTCTAATTGTGTCTGTCTGTCTGTCTGTCTGTCTGTCTGTCTGTCTATCTGTCTCGTCTCTGATACCTACTACTGTGTGTATATCTTAAGTGTGTGCCAGTATGTGTGTGTGTGTGTGTGTGTGTGTGTGTGTGTGTGTGTGTGCCCTAATGATGGTGGTGACGATGATGACGTGGAGATGAGATCATGGCACTGAAGGCACTCATGACGACAGTACAGTGCCAACCACGACGCTCAACACAACACCCTCTATCCCACACATTACACCACCTGAAGATTAGCCACCCCAGCTTATTTCACCAGTTAAACACCTTGATGCTAACCTAACCTAACCTAAGTTAACCAAATCTAATCTAACCTATTTTAACCTAATCTAACGTAATGCATCTAACCTAACTCCTCCAGGTAACAATCGGGGTTTTAATCACCAGGTGAAATAAGGTGAAGGTGTCTAATCTTCAGGTGACCCTACACATATAATTCAATTCACTATTCCTCACATCACACTACTGGTCACTTATACAGAACAACAACTAATGCATTACACAACTGTATTTTCTATCTGTCAATGTAAACTTTTATGATGATTTTAGGGAATAAAAATGAAAAGAAGTGATAACGCCTGGAACATAGACGAGGTAACAGAAACGTAACTGCCAATGCTGTTTAAGGGACGATCTTGTCTTGAGAGAGAGAGAGAGAGAGAGAGAGAGAGAGAGAGAGCACTTAACAACTCTTAAGTTTATTAAAATAACAAGTACACGTCCAGGTGTTTAGTTTACACGACACTACTCAGACAACGACACAATAAACATCGCCACGTTAACCAATAAGACAAAGCCAATAATAAACTGAGGCGGTGACGAGCGAACAAACGCGAACTGACAGGCGACACTTTTCCATCAGCCAGTCATTTGGTGAACACAAACACAAACGGTAGGAAGACGTCGGTAATTACACAGTATTATCACACAAGGCCCATATATCTTTGTATGCAAATTACGAGTTGGGGAAATGTTTCTCAGTCTTGCAATGGCCTTTGTTATTGAACCGATGCATGCAATGTATACCTCCTCCTTCAATTACACGTTTCGCTCTTATATTTCCATATTCCATTATTCCTACCTAAGTGTACTGGGGATAATTCGATTTCTAGCAGGACCAGGGGCGAGTGTTCCGCCGGGGGAGTCAAATAAGCACTTCTGGAAATATATTTAGTAATGGCGGCGGGCCTCGGCGACCAATCACAAGCGGAGATGACGGGTGGCGGCGCGTGACTGGCTGGTCGGGCCGACCCTCTCATGATGGACACTCCGGACGATACCTTAATCATTGTTATTAGGGCCGACCCAAGGCCCTTCATCCTGCTCCACTGCCAACACATCATGCTGGTGCGGGGATTACAGGCGGCTTTTTATTATCTCAAAACTCATCCCAAACCCGATTGAGAGAGACAGAGAAAGAGAGGGAGAACACTACAGTCTGTTAAGAGATCTAAGAAGTCTGTTCCACAAAGAGCCGAAGGACCTCAACGATCCTCTAGGGATAGGGAGCTACAGGGTCCTATACGAAGGAGAGGCATCGTGCATCACAGACCCTGACAAAATGACGGTCTAGCCGGAGCTGACACACGAGGTCGATGTTGCAAGTGAACGGCCGGTAGGTTGATGGCGCTGGTGCAAATGGTGGACGGGGTAAATGTGATGGTGCAGCTGAATGACGTGTAATTGTGATGGCGCCTTCGAAAAACGTTCTATTTATGATGGCGTACCTGAAGGACGTTTGATTTATAAAGGAGCACACACTCACTTGACTGTCGCTTCACCTGGCGACTAGGCAAGACCACGGATGGACAAAATATTAGCTCACAAAGACCACGGATGGATAAAACCTCAGCTAACAAAGACCAAAGCTGGACAAAACCTTAGCAAACAAAGACCAAAGCTGGACAAAACCTTAGCAAACAAAGACCAAAGCTGGACAAAACCTTAGCAAACAAAGACCAAAGCTGGACAAAACCTTAGCTAACAAAGACCACGGCTGGACAAAACCACAGGTAACAAAGACCACG